CTCTTTCCTCCTCCATCCTTCTCTTCCTTTTTTTTATTTTTTCCTCTCATTCTTAAACATCTAGAATCTCTGTAACATAAACATGCTAGACAAATATTGAAATCCCACATTTATTACTGTCAAGGCATATAGCCATATACCTATTTCTAGCTAGTTGCATATCAGTCATCTTTTTAGTATGTTGATCTGAAGAACCACACATCTATTAATATCTCTTACATACAAAATGGTAACCCAAACATGAACTTACTTTGTTTACATAATACATACATATCTGCAATGTTGGCATGGGAGGCATTAGGAGAGAAGTGGCTATCGGGTACAAAGAGACATGACCTCTAAACCATCGAAGGATCTCAAGAAGGGACTAGAGATCTTTGAACCGGTTCAATCCAACTCAATCTTGAACTACTCAGGACCAATGTGCACGTTGACGATCGATAATCTCGATGTTCATCATGAACAAAGCTTTGATGTGGAAGTTGATGAGATCAACTACACAATCTAACTGAAAGTCCAAGTTGAATAGCTTGGGGTGAGCAGCGATGACTGATATCAAAGACTAGTCGCAAGTCTATTTACGCATTGCTCTATTTATCTTCATAAGTTTATTTTCCTCGGATGCTTAATTCAATGTAGAATGAACAATCATCACAGTAAAAGAAAAAAACCTGTTTCTAAAGCTTTCAGAATTTGATAAATCTGTTAGTGTATTGCTAAAGTTTGAGAGTCTGAAAGCGGAAGACTTGGAAAGTTGCATGCTAAAAATTGTTGGAATATGTCGTGCATTGCTAGCTAGTTCAGAACCATTACAGTATATGACGACAGTATAAGATGAAGAGCCTAACGGAAAATCCTTTTGAGTGGTCTCTAATTATGTTTCCTCGAGCAGGGGTGGACCTACCCATTTGACAAGATGGGTTGACCGACCCTACTACGACCCGTGTCACCCCACATGTTGGGGAATAACCCCATGCCTAGGGTGCATCGTTGGAAAAGACCCTCATAGCTAGGGTGTTGTATAAACTAGTATAGTAATGGACAAAAACACCCCTAAGGCAATACCCTTTCAATGTAACCGATTAAGGGTAATACTGTAATTTCCTACTACATATGAATAAAAGGAGCCCTCCAAAGGCAAGATGGCAATGGGTGCATACCCATCGGGTTCCCTTACCCCATACCCACACCCGCGATGGCTAAATATTCCCATTTAAATACCCACATCCATCGCGGGTGCAAAATCATCCCCATACCCACACCTGTGCGGGTAATAGGTATCCAACGAGTACTCTTACCCATATAATTGACTTATAGAATTTATAATTTTGTAATTTAATTAGCCATATTAGAACTGTAAACCATCAATATTTTCTCTAGCAACAATGTTGTTAACATTAGCATTCAAAGGCGAGTAAAAAAATTTCTAGAACCACGCTACATAATCAATAAATCAAATAATAATTTCATATAACTAGACTAGAACAATGCTTAAGATGTGAAAAGAGTTTTATGCTATGATTTAGTAGTCGTTGAGACTTGTGTTACTCATAGTTTTAGGCTCAACTTATGGGTTTTTTTCACCCACGGGTCGGTGGGTGTTAGCGGTTATTAAATGCCGATTCTATACCGCCAACATCTGCATAAAGTTCAGATAATAAAATATCCAACACAGTGATAGAACTTTAATCTCACATATTCCACAAATGTTGGTGTATATTTGTATGCAGGTAATGAACCCCAAAGTTGGGAGGAAAATCATACTAAAGTGAGAGAAAATATGTATCCATACAGGGATGGGTTGTGGACTTCATCAAAATACCAGAGAATCAGCCCAAAACTCTGAGAAATGGATAGAAAAAGACCAGGGGAGGAGATGGGCCAAAAGCCAGGCCAGAGGGGCCCAGCCCAGGTTCGGCCGAACCCCTCTAATCGCCGTTGATCCTGGGGTTTGGCAGGGACGGTCCAGAATGCACTCCTGATGGCGGTTGCGGGGCAATTCAGACAATTCACATAGGGATAACCGTCATACCTACCTCTATATAAGGAGCTTCATTCCTTCACTCACACATATTTCCAAGCTTGAGCTGAATTATAAGATGTTTTACTGTACTATATTATATACTATAATAGGAAGAGAGTAGAGTAGAAGAAGTCGGAAGAATTCCGGAGTTGTCGTTAATCTTCTCTCATTTCTTTTATTCTGTTTATTACTCTAATTTCAATATAATATTCTTCGTGAGTAATTTAGATTTATCTTGTGAGGATTATCTCTTGGTTAGTTCGTAAATAGCATACAGGATTATTGTTCACTATAATCAACTAAAATATAGTGATTGCTTTGGTGAGTTATAAAAACTAAAGTAGATATTAATTGCTTAGACGTGGTGTTTAGGTAATTGTTATCCAATAATTGTTGTGTATTCCACAGTACGTTTGAGATATGTGTAGAGATGTTGACAGCCATCGAGATCACTTAAGCCCTCGCTGTCCGGGTACGTAGTAGAGCGACATCTGGAAACAGCGGGTTGCCAGTGCCTGAAGTATTGCGTTAGGATTAAACTTAAGCTTTTCCTAGACACTGTTTCTCACCAGTAAATCCTCTCCATCCTGTCATATCCTTTGCTTGGTGTCCTTGGATGAACCGGAGGAAGATCTGACCACACACGTTCCCTTTGATTCGATACCCTTGGAATACTCCGTGGGGGAAGTGCTACATCGGTATATCCGTGCGCTTGCAGATTTTTCCTGTGATCGTAAGAATTACCAACAGTGGGTACGGGTGGGTAAAGAATGGACCCAATAGGTAAGAGTTTTTACCCGTTAGTAGACCCATGGGTATAAGATTTAGGACATGATTAGCTCTTAATAGGGTAAAAACCCATCGGGTATCGGGTCGTGGGTCCTCATTGCCATCTTGCAAGGGAGAGGAGGATCTCGCCCATTCCATCCATTATACAAGGACTCTCCTTCTCGGATCTTCTCCTCAGGGAGACAAAGCTAGGGCTCTCTCTGATAGATGGGGGAGCCCCTGCTATGCTCGTTGGGGCTATTGGAATTTGTTCCAACACCATACCTCCAAGACCCCATTACACCCTTAAAGTAGTCATGGACCATTAAAATTAGTAATAACAAGGTGTGAACGTCTAACAGATTAGACCGTCTCTTTACAACACACGCATACTGTAAACAATAACAATCGCAGTTATGTGATTGAACTATAAATGCAATATGTGTTGTGTTTGATTGTTCTTATTGAGTGAACATCTTTGTTCTCTGCCCCCATCTATATTTTAAATAAAACTATTCAGATTAGTGCGCTAAAGTTAGTGTTAACAATAAAATTGGGTATCAAGAACAAAATATGGCAAAGTTTGGTCATATTTGGAAAGAATTTGAGCCTTCCATATGGGGCCGGTCCGAACATCGGACCGAGTCCAAATCAGCTAGTTTGCATGTTTACTTCCTTGGTCAACTGGTCAATTTTGTTCTTGATACCCAATTGAATAGTTTGCACTCCAATCAAGTTCTTTTACCTTTACTTTTTACTTTTTAGCCATGTTTTCTACTTTACCTTAGCTCTCCCAATTTTGTCGCTTTGAGTTGTAAATCATTCGTAAGTTTGTTACGTAAACCTTGTGATTCTCCCACAAGATGGAGGTTATCTCCAAATCAATCTAAGTCAAATTTGACACTGCTGTGATCTTTAAATCAGCCCTGTTAGCGACTCCGTTAAATATTTGACAAATTTGCTACAGGATATGGCATGAATTGACTTTTGGGGGAAAACACTCCCAAAAGTTTGATATTTGCTGGTGGACATCGCAACCATTAATATAATAATTTATGGTTGAATTGGAGAGAGAAATCGTGTGAAATGTCAAAAATAGCCTTCGGCCCACATGTTAGCTTTCCTATCTCTCTTCTCTCTATCCCCTCCTCTTCTCTCTCTCATCTCTTCTCTCTCTATCCAACATGTCAGCAACGATGGCGGCAGGTGAGGTCCGGCGGCGGTGGGAGGGTTAGGGCGGAGCGGCCGCGGCGCCGGAGGTCTCCTCACTCTGCGCGCCGGCGCTCCTCCACACTCCGCGCTTCGGCGCCAGGAGGCCTCCTCACTCCGCACACCACAGTCGTCGTCGTCTGGCCACGCCGCCGCTCCTCCACACGTAGCTGCCACCGCTGGACCTCGCCTACTGTCCCGCCGGCGCCGCTAGTCAAGCGCCGTGGCCCTCCGCCCTCGCCCGCCTGCCGCCGGTGCTCCCGGACCTCGCCCTTGCCCGCGCGTTGCCACGACCGCTCCACACTTGCCCTCGCTGCACTAGCCCTTCCGTCGCCGCCGGACCTCGCCTGCCGCCATCGTCGCTGACATCATCACCATCGACGGACGGTCAAACGTTGGACATGGATACCCACGGCTATACTTATTTTGGGACCGAGGTAGCATATCTATATCATAGTGTGATGAATATCGAGAGTTTCTAAAAGTTGACTGTCGTAACCTTGAGATAACAGTTATATAACTGTTTGCCAATTTCAAATGGAGTGTCACAAATAGAATTCAATAAATGTGCACTCCTTATCTTGATTGGTTGTTTTGGTTTGTTTCTTATTTATGTTTGGTGTCTTTTTATATTTATTTGAACTACATGTGTTAGGTTGTGATTGTAGCTCTTTTGAGCAAATGTAGGGATGTTCTATTCCATTATCTTAAAAAATCAACTCCTTCCGTGTTTCAGGTTATAGACAAATTGTTTCTAAGTTTAACTATGTTTATAGACAAATATAGTTAATATTTATAATACTAAATTAGTTTCATCGAATCATAATTAAATATATTTTCATAATAAATTTGTCTTTAGGTTGAAAATGTTACTATTTTTTTCTACAAATTTAGTTAAACTTAAAGCACTTTGATTTTAACTAAAGTCGAAATGTTTTATAAGCTAAAACAGAGGGAGTATATCAAAGTAATCAACAAACGACAATATATATAGCTCTTGGAACTTATCCGTTGGACGCTCTAGTCCTCAGTCAAAGTTATGTACGTCGCGATGAAAAGACCCATAAGTGCGTCGTACGTTCACCAGTGGGCCGACATACGTGTGTCGTACGTTCGCTAGTGGGCCATACGTGTGGCTCGTAGTCTCTTACGTTCACTGGTGGGTTGATCAATTTGCCTAGTAGCTTGGACGATTGCCTTTTTAAGTACGGGCCCTCCAGTTGACGGATCCTGCTCACTAAACTTACGACCATACGGACTTTCTCGGATATTGCCCATGCAGATACTAATTTGTGCAAATGCACCGCCGCACTTGGCGTTGCTCGACCGCCGGCGGTGGTCCCCGGCGTGGGATCGCCGGCGACCAGATCATCATACGCGTATGCACGCTCCGCGTCCACGTGGTAACCAAAACATCCTTGCAAACTTTTAAGGCTTGGCACTACGTTTTCTAAAAGGATTTTTACTTATGTTTTTTTTTGTAAGAATTCGATTTTAGAATTACTAAAAAGAAGCCCGTTCGTTGCAACGGATGAAAATCATTTTAATCTTATTATTTTTATATGGTTTAGTTAAGATGAAATTTACTGTGGGAATTCACTTGGATACATATATTTTTTAAAAATCACCAGCTGCAGTTAGGAGTCCATTCGTCTAAGGTTAGTATGCGAGTTTTCTTATACGACTCCTTCTGTATTTCTAAAAGCGAATGAATTTAAAAACCGATCCATACACGGATGACATACCAAAGTACCGGCAGAAACATTTTTAATTTTTATAATAGTAGAGATAGAGATTCGTATAAGGTATTTTCTTCACCGCTACCATTGTCCAATCTTATTTATCTTGATTGCAAAGTGAACGACTGAAATTCAATCTATAGCAAAGTTTGTATCAAAAATGTTTATACATGGGTCGCCAATTTAACCCCTCTGCATCCGACAACATACCATGCTTATCAGTTGTGATGCCCCGCAATCTTAACTAATTAAAAAATGGGATCACTTTTACATTTATCGATAAATTTTATCCTAAAAATTTGACAGATATAATTATAGTATAATCATGATGTAATTACATTGTAACTTATATGTAACTTGCACGTAAGTTCCAAAAATCTTTCCATAACATATTATTTTCATGAAATGGAGGTCGTGGGAACAAATTCTCTCACATATATGCGTGCAGTGATTTTTTTCCTTCTTCACTTACACAAATATTAAAACAAATCAAACGGTTCAAAATTATGTGAAAGTTACATGTAAATTATAGTGTAATTACATATAAGTTACAGTATAATTATAATATAATTGTACTGTGGTTACATCTATTAATTTTTTGAGAGAAAATTTATCGATAAATATATAGCAAAATTGTTCGTCACACATCTTTTTCGTCCGTCTCATCGTGATCGCGCACGCATTATCAGACTTTCGTCCGTCCTCTGCTAACTTGCAGCCGGCCCAATCCACGCGATCCATCCCCGTCCACGGTAGGGTGGTTTTCAGCCCAGTCAACGCGAGCAAATTCGGAATTTTTGCCGCACGGAAAGAAAACAAAATAAAAGAACCGCACAGGAAAATCACAGGCCGCCTTCCTCCTGCAATCCGGTGGTTTTAATGTGCCATCCCGTAGATCCCACTTAAATAATTTGATATTTGCCAATTGTATTTATGCAATAGATATATCTTGCCTGATCTATTAACCCTTGATTTAAGGCGAAAGATTTCTTGATCTGTTTTTTAGGTCTAGGGTTCGTCTAGGTGTTCTGGATTTTGGGACTTTTTTAGGTATTTTCTTGTGGTGCTTGCTATGTTTTGGACTGATTGTGATTGGGGCTATGCTCTAACATGAGAATCCAACTCGTCCTCCCTTGACGCACTCCCCACTCCCGCTCCCCGGTAAGATTCCCGCCGATTCACAAGTGCCACTCGCTAACTATAAGGCACAGGCGCCACTTCATCTTGATCGTGCAACAGTCATGCTGTTCCAAGTTGCCGAATCAGCAGTCCTACCGACTCCAGATGGATCCATGGAGTCTGAATCCATGGTGGCAGTGCAGAAGTCTGAACCGTTCTGGACATGCCACGTAGCAAAGCGGATAAATGATGATGTTGGGTCGTCATGGAACCTACTAAGCAGGGATGAATCTAGTAGGTAGGCTCCATCAGGCTCTAGCCTATCCTCTGATTTTTTTTTAAAAAAAGAATATCCCATACTCATAGCAAAGCAAAATCAGTCATGGCAACGTTGAGTGGTCGGGGAAGAACAGTAAGGACGCTGATTGGGGAGATGGGGACGACATGGGACATAACACAAGCTCACTCCAACAGCAGTTGGGCCATCTGTTTTAGCCCAATCCTAATAGCTCGTTCGGCTAGGGCTGGTACTAGGCGGCAGGACTTGGCTCGGCCATGGCTTGCGACCACGAGTTGTGGTGGCGGCCGGCGGGGAAACCACGCAGGCAGGTGGGCTGGTGGGGCGGAGAGCGCCACGTAGGACGCGTGTAGCGGCAGCCGACGGCGACACGGGCAGCTGATGACTGAATATATTTAGTTTTATCAGTAATTTTGACAAGCTGGCCTCCTCTCTCCAGGGGGACCTCCCCCCTTCCCTTCTCCTCCTCTAGTACAACGTGTGGTGGCGGCCGGCGCAGTCGCCGGATCTCGCTGGCCTCCCCTCTCCTGGGGGACCTCCCCCTCCTTCAGTGCAGCGTATGGGCAAGGTGGCAGCCAGCGGAAGTATAGGTGCCATTGTTAACCGGCACTAATAAGATTGAGGTATAGGCGCCGATCAATAAGTGTCGGTTGGGAAACCAGCACCTATAGCCAGTTCCCAATCGATAACTATAGAGGTTTCTGTACTAGTGGTTGATGCTTGTAAATGATTTGTGTGTATGGAAAAGTGGTAATTGGGTAGTAGATTAATTCTAACTTGAGGAGTGACGCAATTGTGTATCGTGCCAAAACTTATGATTCGGTTTCTGTGATTTGTGATGTTTTCATTCATTGATTCATTCAAGGTAGCTCTAGGCATTCTGGGTGTAGTAGGAAGTCAATTTAGTTCATTGGAAAATTGATTAGATGAGACGGCTCTTTAATGTTTGTTTTTGTTCATAAAGGGTGTATGCAGTCATGCAATTCGCACTACATGCTCTACCACTATATAAATGGAGTTTAATTAACTAAATCGTTTTAACGAGGACGACATTGTCTTTAACAACACTCATCCCTTGTTTTGTCTCAGTAGAAGATATACCAAGGGATAGTGAATCCGATCAATATAGCTAGTGGTTTCGTTTACTTAATTTTCTAAACTACTATTGGTATTCTAACATTTTTGTCTCTATATATATACGTAGATAAAGAGCAATCAAAGGGAATAGTATATTGCAAAGCCAAAGAAACACAAGAAACAGTTGACAGGAGGAGCGGTGGAAAAGTAATATATTAATGTTGCACAGACTACTTTTCCCATCTTTTTTTCCTTTACAGCTCTATGTTATACTTCCTTTCTGTTTTGTAATAGGATTAGTGCAGGCGTACACAAATGTTAATGGTATTTCTTGATTCTTTTTTCAGTTCTCAACTTAATATTCTTGATTATAAAAAATGAAGGTTGGTTGATGTACTCCCTCCGTCCCAAAAAAACTTAACCTAGAGCTAACTAGTCTAGATTCATTATCCTAGGAGGGGTTGGTTGAGTTTTTTTTGGCCGATGGAGTAGGCTGGATTATATTGTTTTCTATTATTAAAAATAAATATAGACCCTTGGATTTTTTTCATGAAGTTTAGAACATTAACATAGTTACCTATACATATATTTGATCATTAATTGTTTGTTCTAATTATATAGTCATAAAAATATAGAAAATTAAGAAAAAGAAATGATTTGCATATTTATCCAGGACGAACCGCGGGACATGGAAGAAATGGTCAATACCATCAGAGTAATGCTAAGGACAATGGGCGATGGGGAGATAAGTGCTTCTGCCTATGACACCGCGTGGGTCGCACTTGTGAAGAATCATAACGGCAGCGACAGCCCACAATTCCCCTCGACCATTGATTGGATCTCTCACAATCAGCTGCCAGATGGTTCATGGGGTGATGACTTGTGCTTTCTAGTTCATGATAGGCTCCTCAACACCCTAGCTTGTGTGATTGCGCTGATGGAGTGGAAGGTTCATGGTGACAAGCGTGAGAAAGGTACCATAGTGTTGGCAGATCAATCTGTTTACGATGAGAGGCTTTTTGAGGTTTTCGGTGTAACTGTATTGTGATCTTAATTTTCAGAGAGTTTAAGACTGTTCCATTTGATTTTAGGTTTGTCGTTTATTCGGGAAAATATATGGAGGCTGGCCCAAGAGGAAGAGGCATGGATGCCAGTTGGTTTTGAGATCACCTTCCCCTCACTTTTAGAGATAGCCAAGGACTTGGCTCTTGACATCCCTTATGATGACCCTGCTTTGCACAAGATATATGCCCAAAGGGAGCTAAAGCTTAAGAAGTAATCTGCATACCTGTTTCTAATAGGGAAAGGCTCCAATTTATTCATATGTATTTAATTTACACACACACATTAATAATTTTGTTACATTTGCGTAGGATCCCAAGAGAAATACTTCACTCCCTACCAACAAGTTTGCTTCTTAGCATAGAGGGACTGCGAGGCTTGGACTGGAAGAGGCTCCTCAAGCTCCAACTTTCAGATGGATCCTTCCTATCCTCACCCGCTGCAACGGCCTATGTTTTGATGCAAACGGGCGACAAGAAATGTCTCGAGTTCCTTGATGGAATTGTTAGCAAATTCCATGGGGGAGGTAAATAATGATCTTTCAATTATAAATAAATTCTCATTCGAGACTTCATTTAATTTCTAGTTGAATAGAACCTATTTGATGCAAAGTTCGTTTCTGTACAGTTCCAGAATTGAAAAAAATGGATATCATTTTTGATAGCCGTAACATTATTCAATCGGATTTGTCCAGATATGCATTCAATTCATACTGCCCCAGATATGAAAAAAATTATTGTAGCATTAACCTTTCTGTGAATCGACCAAATGACGGTATTATGATCCACCCAAACAGTCGTTAATAGAGTATTGTTTGTTTCTCTGTTCAATGTTTTGAGTACCATTTCTCTATCCTATCGAAATATTTGAGCGCGTATGGGCAGTCGACCGGTTGGAGCGGCTAGGCATATCTTACTACTTCAAAACTGAAATTGATGAGTACTGCTTAGAATACACCTTCAGGTGATCATTTGACCACATTGTGTACCAAAATACGTATTTTGACTTGTCAAATTAATGTTATAAATCTAATGGAACAGGCATTGGACTAAGGAAGGCGTGACATACAACTGGCACAGCTCTGTGAAGGATATTGATACCGGGTCAATGGCTTTTCGTCTACTCCGGTTGCATGGCTATAGTGTCTCTCCAAGTAAGCAACAGGCAACTGATGTTTCTGTTATTTCTCAACTGATGCTGTTGGTTCTTTAATTCTTTTGATATCTGACTTTGATCGTCATTGGCACTTTGGGACTGAATTCCCGAATAATCGAGTGCAGGGGTGGATCTAGAATAAGTTAGGAGGAAAGCTCATCATCTGCTTCCTCGTCGAGCCCATATACTTTACTTACCCATCCCCTCTCTCCTCTCCATGGGGATCCAATATAATGGGGTAGGTGTGGCTCGAGCCGCCCTGCACCGATGTTCAATTCGTCCCTGCTCGAGTGTATATCATATAGTCCCGTTATCTACAGCTAGCCACACATCCATAACATAAACACAGATAAGAACGTTCACATGATGAATAATTAAGTAAGAGGGAGGCAGCGTTATTTGCAGATTTTGGATGGATGGAGCCTGGCAGCTGGGTGTGGTGGTTGGGTTAAATTTGTGATGTTGGAAGGTCCAAGTACATGATCCATTTCAAAGCCTTGTTACACAACAGGAAACAGGCGAAGTGGTTGGCCATCGTGCTCGGTCTTGTCAGCATGCAAGCTTTCCTATGTCGGGAATAGTCTCATATTTGTTGATTAGGGATTGAACCAACTTAAAAGTAGAAGAGTTTCTTTATCTCTTGAGCTAGTTTTTGGGTGTAGTAAAGCTTTCTCCTAGTTAGACCAATGTCTCCTAGTTTTGAACCAACAGACTTGGTATGTGGAGTATGGATGTTGGATAGTGAAATCGGAGCTATGGTCTAGGTAATTAAGATATATGCAGATGCAAGATATGGAAGGACACACTGGGATATGGCCATATGGCGAAGAATTGCTGTGATTGGCACCGGTGACTGAACAGAACAAGGTGATGCGCTGCAGAGCTCAGCTCGTTGAGATTTACAACTTTCATGTGAAGTATATCTCTATACGAGGTTGCTTGAAAAATTCAAAAATTTAAATTTTCCCTCATTCATAACGTTTTGTAACTACCAAGCTTCACCGATAATGTTCTCCATCAATGCTAGTAATAATGACCCAGTCACAGATGAGTGCTCCCATCTTTGAGGATCATCTCATTACATCCGTCACTAGTGAGGTCTCGTAGTCATGGACGACACACTCCAGTGGCGACGATGGCGGCGACGGCGGCAACGTACACCCACGCTTCATGTGTATGAGCGATCATACCATAGCGCATCTTTGAGGTTCCACGAATATAAAAAAAAAAGTAGACGAGCCAATGCATCGAGCAGCTCCCCTTCGTACCCTCACCCCCGACCAATCCAAGAAAATACAAGAACACAAGAACATTCAACAACTCAAGAACAAAAGGAACAGTAAAACATTAAGAATGGGCTGACCGACATCGCGGAGGGCGCCACTGCTTCCTCTCTCGCCGGATTTGGTGGAGGGGAGCCGCCCACCATAGCAAGTCGCTCCCGCCAGCTTCCCTCCCGCCTGATCTAGCGGAGGGGAGGGCACCGCTCGCCGTTGCCACCTCCTACCTCCCGCTGTTGCACATCACTCCCGCCGCCTATCCTCCTGCCAGATCTGGCACAGGGTAGGGCGAAGCTGCCTGCTGCCGTCGTCCGCCGCTGCGGCCACCTCCATCCCGCTGCCGCACGTCGTTGTTGCTAGCTCCTTCCCATCACCGAACGCTGCTGTCACCATCTCCCCTACTGCCGGTCTGGCGGAGGAGAGGACGTCACCGGCTGCCGTTGCCTCCGTTCCCACCACTGCCGAAGCCGTTCTCACCACTGCCGAAGCCATTCCCACCACTGCCATCACCTCCCCCCCCCCCCCGCTGCTGCACGACGTTGCCTGCTCCTCCCCTCCCGCTGGCGCCAAGAGAGAGAGACGAGAGAGAGAGTGAGAGCCGAGAGAGAGGAAAGGGTGTGGTGGAGCGTAATAATAGAGAGATGAGGAGAAGGAGAAGCTAAGGACAGGAGGCTACCAGTTCAGCTCGACCTGATTTTAAGGGTGCCAGGTTTTTAAAGAACCAACACCTATAATACACTAGAGGTTCCGGTTTTAAAAAAAGCAGCATCTATTGTATAGGTGTTGGTTTTTCTAAAGAACCGGCACCTATAGTCGCTTGAAGGTGTTAGTTTTTTTTGTGTGTGTTTTCAGCCTGTGGAGGTGGAAAAAATACTATAGGTGCTAGTTATGCTATTTTCGACACTTATAGTGCTGACTTGTATATCCATTTCTGTAGTAGTGTATGGAGGAAGCTACCTATCGGACGTCCGATGCCTAAAAAAAATTGAACGATCAAATATTGCAGTTCACCAACAAGTAAAACATTAAGTTATATATGGTGAAATAAAAAAATCAGCAACTGAAACATTTAAATATTTTATGAAACATGGTGAAGATACACGTTGAAACATGTCACTGTCACGTATGAAACAACAAGTATTAACGGATTGAAACATGTGTTTTTCTTTTAACAAAATATAATCATGCGATATCTTATTGTAAAGATTTAATTAAAACGAATATAATGGTGTGATCGGATCATGGATTGAATAAATAATTTAAAAGAAAAATTATTTTGAAGCTTGCTAAAATACATGCATGTGTGCATGGATGAGGTGGAGAGAGAGTAGTATCAGGTATTTCGAGGTACCAAATGTTGAATGGTAAAGTTACACTATACATATATATTGCTCCAGTGGCAGAGTCAGTGAAATCTAAAATTGCCCATAACCACACATATATCAAATACAGTAAAAGTACGAAAAATGGTATATGAAGGCTGAAACTACCATCACAATTTATACACAGAAGTACGGTAAAAGTTTTTTTTTAAAAAAACTTGAACTAACATTTCATTAGAATACCTATCCTCTGTCCACGATTCGAAAAGTTTTATCTATCCATCCGTGAAAACTAGATTAGATTTCTGTTAGGAACATCGTATTATTTCTCCTCTTAATTTACCACTAAAGTTGTCTCGGAATGTGACGGTTTGATTTTTTTATAATGGAATAGAATTCCAGCCGTTGCTCAGAGAGCTACAGCCAATTATTACAACAATTCAACAGAATAAAAAAACAGTCTTAAAAAAAACAGGAACACACTAACTACTAAAAACGCACACAACATGAGAAGTTAACAAAATTATTAAATTCTATTTGTGAATCTCGATCTAAAGTTGGTGAAAAACTGCATAATCGTCGACTCAAGATTGCGACATGCAGTCTTCACTAACTTTATATCTTCATCACACTTTAGTAGTTGAGCCCAAGACCGGAGCCGGTATGTTGCTCTGAAAAGAATCTGCATATAAGATATAGATGGTGACTTGTCAAAAACCATATCATTTCTACACAACCATATAGCCCAACAAATAGCGGATGCTACAACAAAAATAAGTTTGCTAGTTTTTTTTATCAACCCCCATCAGCCAATTCTCAAACATATGAGATATACTAAGCGGAGTATTTAAACCAGAAGAAAATTGTAGAGTTCTCCAAAGAAATCTTGCATAGTGACATTTCACAAATATATGTTGAATAGACTCGTTTTTCATGCAGAAACAACATTTCAAACTACCATACCAATTCCTCCTTGCTAAATTGTCCTTTGTTAACACGACCCCTTTAAGCAAGTACCACATAAAAATCTTAATTTTAAGAGACATTTTAAGTTTCCATAAAAACTTATTCCTTTCAATGTAGCTATTATTAATTAAGGCTAAATACATATAATGGACTGAAAATTGACCATTTTGAAGAAATTCCATCAAAATACGTCATTATCCTCTGTCAAATGAATATGAACAATTAAAGCACTCAAATTATGCCAATTAAACAAATTCTAACCTACTAAAGCTCTTTCAAAAGAGACATTCAGTAGAACAGAAGACATAACATTTGCAACCGAGGAATGCCTCCTTCTTACTATAGCATAAAGCGATGGGAATCTATCTTTAGAGGTACTGTTTGATTGAGGTTGTATACAACTAATTAACACTACGACAAACGTACGTATTTATAGAGACCAAAAACTATGTGTAAAATTAGTAATTTAATGTCTGTCGATTGATTGTATTGATCAATGTCGACACGTAGATTGGTTACGCCCTAGACTTCCCCTGGAAAGCAAGTCTGCCACGTGTTGAAACAAGAATGTATCTGGAGCAATATGGCGCCGGCAGAGATGTGTGGATCGGTAAGTCGCTTTACAGGTAAAAGCACGGTAATTAACCAACAATTGTGAAATACTCTCTCTTTATCATGTCATCATCCTCATATATACTGGACGTACACGGTCTTAAACCTTTCTGCAGGCTGCCACTCGTGAACAATGATCTCTATCACAACATGGCAAAAGCTGATTTCAAGTGTTTCCAGAGGCGCTGCCAACTTGAGTGGCATGGCATCAACAAGTGAGCTGCCTCCTGCCTCTCCATCCGACTGATCTACTTTAATTTGGAATGGAAATAAACAAAGAATTACTACGTACTACCCCCTCCTAAAATAGTTGTGTTTATAGGATTAAAATTGTCCTAAAATAGTTTAAATCTACTTTGCAATTTTTTAAACTATTGTCTCATTAATTACATTATATTCAAATTTCTCTTCTTTTTAACCCAAACCACCTTCTACTCCCAAACCATACTCAATAATGATGGGTGTTATATAGAGTTCTCTTCTTAAATATTAATCTATGCTAAACAAAAGGACAACTATTAGGGACGAAAGAAGTACCGGGTCATATGTACTACATCCAAAGTGCGTAATAATTACCGGGTCAAATATACTACTCCATCCAATAAAGCATTTGACTGACACTTAGTATAATATAAAATGAATTTTATTTGTTAAAAATTATATTATTAGATTAAGATTTGAATTTAATTTCATATGGTTATAATTTTGTGTACATGAGAAATCTATCTATCTATCTATCTATTATATCCTAAAAGTGCATCAAACTTCCTATAAACACTCCTAAGCCGCCATATGTCTTCCTACAAACGCTCTTGATTCGACACGTGACACTTTTAAATAAGGTGGACCCACCAATTTTTTTTATTTAACAAAGGACCCACTATTTTCCTTCGTTGCATTTACTTTAATAATAAAAGAAAAGGCCCATGGGGCCTGTACATGTACGTGTGCTGCAAACTGTACATACGTACACCCATAACCGGCCGGTGCATCTCCTCTTTTCTATTTTCATGCCTTATTACATTGAAACATATTTTTGTTGTAAAATTTTTCTTGAATAACTATAAAATTTTTCTATATAGCTAATTTTTTTTATCCATGTATACTATTAGATCATTTATAACAAAACTTATAATTCAAATCCCAAATTAACTGTATTTAACAAGTAAAAGAAATACATTGCTTTGGACCACCTATTGGCCACTCAATACACATTTTGAATGGAAAAACACATAGATTTTTAACACATAGATTTTTAAACCATGTGATTAACAACACGTAGTTTACACTAGACAATATAAAACACATAAAACAAATTAATAAGATTAAAATAATAAGAACTTAATTAGAAAATACATATTCCCCCGTCCCAAAATATAAGACATTTTTGTTGGATGCATGGACATAGATTTAGATTCGTAGTAATATGATATCCCATTCAACCAAAATCACTTATATTTTGTGCCACTACAAATATGTCATTTTAGAAAAATGCCACTACTATTCACGATATTGCAGATGGCGTCAAGGATGGTGGCGGCGACGGCACCCAAGACCTCCCATCGCGGATGCGATCGAGGACAGAGACGGTGGTGGTGGCTCCCGAGCCCTCCCACGCGGATGGCGTAAAGGATAGCGGCGGCGGCGGCGGCTGCATGTTCCGAGTCCTCCCGTCGTGGATAGGGTCGAGGATAGTAACAACGGCGGGGGCTCCTGAGCCCTCCCACGTGGATGGCGTTGAGGACGGCTGCTCCCGAGCCTCCTACTACAGATGGTAGCGGCGGCGACAGCTACCAAGCCTCCCACCGTGGATAGGGCCGATGATATC